AAACTGTTACTTATTGCACACCCTGCGAGATAATGTTCATTGTGTTTCCTCGATAACACTGAGAATTTCACCGGCTTAAACGCATTATCATGTAGGCACCGAAACCAGTCCCCTGATTCGTCTTGCGAGTCGCTAACAAAAACTCTCCGTGCCCGAATGTCCATGGTGTGCGCCTCCCGTCAAGCGTCGTAAATAAATTCCCTTCTACGAATTACCGTGGATCGGCTTATAATTTCTCCAAGTTATGGCAAGAAGCTCGAATAGCGTGTATTATTCGCCCGTCCTCCCCTTTTTGGAGATTCGTCGTGCGTTAAGGATTTTTCGCCTCGTCGCGCAAAGCACAAGAAACGGCTGCTGCTAACACGAGGCGATCTTTCTTCCTTTTCCGTGTGACGTGCATCGTAGAAGTCGAACGGAATCTACGGATTTTTACGTAATTGAAGTTGCCGTGCCGCAAGAGGTATAAAACTTTCGCGCGCCATACTCAGATGTAAGATTGCGAATAGTTTTTCCCGGCGCGGCAGCTGAACTCTTATACTCGATATACTATTTTCGCTACTGGCTTTTTCTTCGCGAAAAATCGTGATTTTCCCGTATTTACCGTTGAATATCATTAGCATCGTTCATCCTCATTGGCGCAACTTTATAAAATCTATGAAAAAGTAGATAATGCCTCAATCGCGGTCATAAAAACTCGTTCCTCTTCATTATACATTTAATCGAGTAATTATTCTAATTTAATTATAATTTTCTGCACTATTCTCAATATAATCGTACGAAATTTTTCAATCGTAAAACACTTAACATTTCTCCAAAATAGCGTACAACATGAATTTTATATATCTTAATTTGCATTATTAAACTCTTAAGTTAATAACGAAATTTGGTATCGCCAGGGTAAATCGTAAAAAGTGGTTATGAAAATAATCAACGCAACTTTTCCTTAAATTCATATTTAATGAACTTTCATCTCCGTTTTTACGTGTTTTCATTTTCACTAAAATATCGAAAATGCAGACAATCTTGAGAATCCATATCGCAGAACTACAAACTTCATAATTGGCGAAAGTGTAATAATATACATCTGCCAAATTGTAAATAACGTCGCAGTTGGTACGTTTTTTTTTCTCAATTTTTTTTTTTTTTTTTGTCAAACAACAAAGAGAATACGCTTATACGCGTGTGTTTGTATACAAAAACCCGAGCGTAGACACGCGCTTTTAAATCTAAATTAGTTCCGTCAATACAGTCGATTGTTAATGAATAAAGCAAAAACATCAACCTGCATTGCTTATTATTCGAAATAGCAGCGCGACGCGCACGGAACGAGTACACATTGCTTTTTTTTTTTGGTATGAGAATATCGATAATGATTTTCTAGTGTGGTTTTTAACCATTTGGCACGTATGCGCGCGCGACTTATCCAATCACTTTCGCATACATACGCGTGATGTTTCGCTGAATCCGAGCGTGCGATGATGAATGCCACACGTGACGGAAGCAGGGTGAAAGAGAAAATTTGTAAATTATATTATCGTTTTACCTAAATCAATTCTACCCATCGAGGCTTTACTCCCATGGCATCTAATACTTTTACTTATGTTTATTGTGTTTTTCCACATTGAAAAATCCCGCTGTTAATAAGGTGGGTCTATCCGAGTATCGACCCATTTACGCTTTCTCTCATATTACTCGAAAGACAAAAATGAAAGTACTTTAACTGTTTTGTGAATAGCGGATAAAGGATGAATGAAGAAGAACGAGGGAAAGTTAAATTAAATGTAATATCGATCGATTATACATTATTTATTAATAACTAATTAATTGTGTATTGCCGTATATAGATTTACTTATTTAATGTTCAGCTTTTAAAGAATTTGTAAGTCGAGCACATTGACGACTATTAACGATAAGCAAAAAATTAAAAAGTAATCTTACTTTATATTTATTCTTTAAATACAATAATTATTGGTGAGTTGGGAAAGTTTTTCTTTTGTAATGTATATTATGATTTTTATGTATAAGCAAGGATCGATTAAACAAAAATTTAGATTACTATGATTTATCGAGGCGATCTAGAGTGGTACATATATATATATATATATATATATATATATAGTACTTATACAACGGAAATGTGATTTCTAAATACACATTTAAATAAAAAATCAATTCATACAAAAGACAAAAATGTCAGTCTTTGGAAAGACGTTTGTATCGACTGGGTAATCACGTTTATTTAATTTATTCAATGATTTAAACTATACTTCCATTGACAATTCTCATTGACTCACTTCACTGGGGCAAATGACAATTATAAGTTCTATCATGCAAGCGTTAACAATCGCCGAACAGGACATCTAATGAGATATTTTAGTTCCGTCTTCTAGGAAAAGCACACATATTATGAATTTAATTAGTGTATAATGCAATTGGTATTATTCCCAATATTAGATGAATATGGCATGAATTAGAATTAAACATTTTATCTCTTAGTTCTATTACAATTGATTCTTTATATAATATACAATTGACGAATTATCGATTAATAAAAATTAAATACCTAATATTAATCATAATAATAATAGTAGTAATAATAAATAATAATACGTTAATGATTAATAATTTCAAATAATTCAATGTAATGAAAAAAAAAAAAAAAAATATATATATATATATATACATATATATTTCTTGTTGGAAAAATCCGTTGAATAATATACTCGCGTGCAAGTTAAAATGAAGAAAATCTTATTTCTAGTTATAAAAATTGTAATTCGTATTCTAGCAGCATGTTTAGAAAATTGAAGGAATTTATGTTAATATCATGCAATAGCCTGCTAAAAGATAAAACAGTTTGTATATCCTTGGACGTATATGTCCAAGAATACATTTCCTTTGATGTATATGATTTAGATTAGGTATAAACTTTAGTTTCGCACATGTGTTTTGAAGCTAATGTACCTCCATTATGTTGTTGCCCGTAAATTTAAATCAAAATCCATTTACACCTAATAGAAAATAATCGCGTCTTATTTCAGAAACTCGAAATTGTTGTTCGGTAATGAAAGCAAAGAAGAAGAAAAAAATTATTTTATCTCCCTATCTAAGCCAATAATTAAACGACAGGGGAAGGGGAAAAAATTATTTACCATCGCGTATTACACCTAATTACATGTCCGATGGGTCAAGAGAAAGCACAACAGTACGTAATACCGAAGAATGCAGTTAAGCATAATATAATTAAAGGCTCTTTGATGCGCATCGATTATCCAAACACGAGTGCGCAGGCTGGAAAAACAATGCGCACAAGAGTGGCGGCGTCGAGCATATCCTTTGGCTCTTTGGCTCTTAAGGATCGCGACAAGAGGAACGGGAGAGGAGCGCGAGGCAAGAAAGTCAATCCCTTTCTTCGCTCACTGTCAGCGCGTTCTGCTGTTCCGTTCGGTTTTTGCACGCGAATCGCGTGCCATTATTCTCTCACGCATATTACGCAATGACCTAACGGGCCTGGCATCGCGTCCCAAAAGGGAAGAGGCGTGGGGCCCGCTTAGCCTCACCTATTGGGACTCTGCTACGTCGGCGATCCCCGGCTATTCAATTAATTAAGCCACGCTAATCGCTCGATTAAAGGCGAATCGCGGAGTACCGGTGGCCTATTGTTTATATCGATCTAACGAGCTCATTATTGGGACAAAAAATCCCTGACCACGTTCGTTTTTCATTTTTCTTTTCTTTTTTATTTTTTTTTTTTTTTTTTTTTTTTTTTTTTTTTTTTTTTTTTTTGTTGCGAAAAATGAGACGCCAATCGCCCGCTTAACTCCTCGCTTTACTTACGCACACGAGCGCGAAGAATCCGAGTCTTTGCATAAACATCTCGCGCTCGTAATGCGAAGAATGTACCGTAGGTGTTTACAAATTACCGCGATACAAAGTCTAAGATAGCGCCGTAGTATTTACAAGGCAGACAGGGAATTGAGTTTTGATAAAAGTAGAGGGAAAATTAGAAATAACTTTTACCTGTGTGGTTTGCTAATTTTTGTCACGTACACTTATACATAATGCTTCGTTAGACATCGCGTAACATTTTTTTGTTGTTGTTTTGTGTTGTACGCGCATGAGATTGCGTAAAAGTTGCTTCTTAACTTGTTTCTTTTTTTTCACGGAAAGAAAATAAATCATTGATAATGGATGAAATGCGTATGTAATTGTAAGGTGGAGAGAGAGAGAGAGAGAGAGAGAGAGGTGGGCAGACATACTCGATATAAATTATATAAAACTGTGAATATAGCGGTTATTTTGCATTTATGCCTCAAGGCGTCTCGAGACTCATATGGTAGCAATTCAGTCATTAATGCAAAGCCACGAAAATCCAATAAGAAATGCATGTTTTTCGAATAAACAGATGTACACCTCGAATTATCTAATTACATTGACAATTTTAAGCTTCGTGTGCAGCGCGAATTCCATTTCAAGAACTTGGATGCTCCTAAGCCGACCTTACGCAAAACATGATCGCACGATTGCAACGAATTTGCAAATTGCTTACGGTTAAAAAGACATTGCGGTCGTCTCAAATGTCGATAAGAACTAAAGCCATGTATACGGGATATTATAAGTCGTTGCTTCAACAAGTATGCTAATTGAATGCGAATTGAAGTAAATTGTCGGATATGTGCTCGAGAGAGAGAGAGAGAGAGAGAGAGAGAGAGAGAGAGAGAGAGTTCCGAGAACCCCATAAAATCCAAATGCCGTGGCCGTATTAATCGTAATCCGTGAACCTACGAGTCGATTGATCTAAGCGGCAGAATGAATGCAGCCGCCCTTGAAAGGCCAAACAAAAGGGATTCAGCGGTTGGGTAATTGGTACCTTGGCGGGTACCTAGGCGCAAAAGGCCGATTGTCGGCACTTTTCGATGCGACTGGAGAGAAAGCCGTCGGCCAAAGTTCGCCGATTATAGTTCAAGCGCTCCGCTAACGAGGTGCATAATTGTTTTCAGGTAACGATAGCAGTGTTGCTAGCGATGGTGGCGCTCGCCTCCTGCGTGAACCCGATGGAGCCGATCGACGATTTGGTGGCCTCGGCCTCGGGCGCCTCAGCGCAAACTTCCGCGCCACCGGTTAAGCTGGACAAGAATTTGCGACGGGCGCTCCTAAAGGCACTGGTCGACCTCGAGGCCGAGTCCGCGGAGCAGCAGCAGCAGCCACTATCACCGTCTCCACCGTTATCGTCGTCGTCATCGTCATCATCGTCCCCGGCGCAGTCGGACAAGGACGAGAAGCAACGCGCTACCGAGTCGACCATTGACGAGACCAAATACGATTTCCTCGAGATATCCAAGCAAAAGAGCGCGAGTTTCTCGTTCGACGGCTTCCCTAGCGAAGAGGATACACCGAGCGAGGATAAACTGCAGAACTCGAGCTTCGTCGAGACCGACAAGTTTACGCACCAGGACTCGCAGCCCAAAATTAATTTCGCGGACCCGGTCCAGGTAGGCTATAGAGTTCGATCTCTCTTACGTTCATCGAGCGTCCTGGTCGGTGCTGACTTTGAAAATCCTGTTTTCATGTACATGACACGTAAAAAGCAGCTTGATCATAAACGATTATTAGTTTGTAAGATTGTGCTACACGTTCTTTTTTTTTTTTTTTTTTTTTTTTTTTTTTTTTTTTTTTTTGATTGTTGATCTTCTTGACTAAATGCTTTGTTTAAAAAATATTTATGTTTCCAATGGTCGAGCTTCGGTTCACTTCGACTCGCTGTTTGAAACGTTAAGTATCGCAAACTTTACGAATCATCGGCATTTTTATCATATCCATTTCAATTTTCTAATACTATATTATAATAGCATTGCCAATTAACTCTAAAAAAAACTTTCATCCATAAGCGCTTATGTACGCAGCTTATAGTTTTCAATTACTCATTGAGGCCAATTGATTAAACGTCAACTAGCCAATTAACGAATGCTAAAAGTTCTTGAGAAAAGCTCTGATCGATTACTGAATAGCACAATTGGCATATTCATAATGTAATGTTTCGTTCCTTAAAATGTACCAGCACGAACAATAAAAGCACGAAGTGAATAAAAACTCTGTATTGCCATTTATTCGCAGTTAGGAATAAATATTTTTTATAATTAAGCTATCTCCAAAAATATACGTGATACTATTAGCAGCACATAATTGCAATTCTCATTGCCTATATTAAACGATTTGTAAAATTATATAACTTTCAATGCAATTATTTCATTAATATTTTATACTATTTCAAATTTTATTTCAAACTAATATTTTTAGAAACAGCTTCCGTTTCTTTCTCCTTAATTTTCTTTTAAATTTCACGATAATTCAAATTCGAAATTTCGAAAGTTCGAAATTTCTGCTAAACTACACGGATATTGTATCATTAGATTCATCTTGTCGTTGGTTAAAATATTTCAATTCGCTTAATGAACATTGATAAGTGGAAAGTTTTTCCCAATTGTCGTAATTAGCGCTTAAGTTTCGAAATTACAATTTAAAACGATAGAGTTTAAATTTTTTATGCATCAAATATTTTAACATACACTTTTCATTCACAATTATTATCAGAATAATAATAAAAAGCACAATTATATCAGACATTAATTAATTACCTCTCATCACTCGGAGGATCATAACTGCTTAATTTACGTGTATGCAATTCCATTGTACCTTGTACCTTAATCACTGTTATTATTTATTCTACGTAAATACCTGCTTCGGGAGTCACAGTCACTTTGATTTTAGTCGATGCTGTGTGTCTTGAATCGTAAAAAAAATATAAAAAATCACATAATTTTCAAGAATCCACATTTCAAGGAGATCGTGCATAATTATATTTTTATTGTACTTCAATAAATCAATAAATCAAGTAAAAAAGATTCGACATGTAAAAAATGAAGATCTTAACTTTCTAAACAATATATATTCATATGAAATTAAGAAAAATATAATTGCCATAAAGCAAGTCATAAAATATTAAAATAACAATATTGTAAAATAATATTGGTATTTATAAACTTTCTTATTTAAAGAAATTTTAAACGTATTCTCAATTATATTTTAAGTCTTCTACGTGTGTCTACTCCTTCAACATACAATTTCCTTTGCTTTATATTTTCTCTTGTTTTGAAAAATATTATTATACAATTTGTTTATAAATTACGAATTGTTGTCATACAGATAATAATAATAATAATAATAATAATAATAATAATAATAATAATGATAATAATAATAATAATAATAATAATAATAATAATAATAATAATAATAATAATAATAATAATAATAATAATAATAATACAGATAGTAATGTTACAAATGATCAACATTTATCCTTTTTACGATTAAAACTGTTCAATTTCGCATCTTAAAACTCATTCCTATTATATAAAATCATAGGTGTAGAAAATTTTTTTATCACTCAAATGACAAATCTTACACATTATATTACTCTGCACGATACATGCGGATACATCAAATGTTGCTGCTTTGTAAATAATTTTTTCATCTCCGAAGCAGATTATACATATGAATCTCCATAGTCACACTCCATTCGATTTATATATAAAAAGAAAAAAAAAACAAAAAGCTAAAGAGTTTTAAAGTTCATATTTATATAAATTCATTATCGCTGACTGACTGCCGAGAAAAGTTTTTTTTTTCTCTCGTAAATAATACTTCATCTTGAAATATGTAAGTTTTATAAAATAAATTATTGTACTTAAGTTCTCGCGCGCTCAACGAATAGAATATATTTACAATATAAGCCAACTTTAGATTTACGCAGAAACAATTTATTGCCATCCTAATCGTTCTACTTGCCAGCATCAATGCTCCAATCCAATTATTAACGCTTGATTTAAGCATCTGAATTTATAAAAGCGGATAAAATCCTTAAAGTATATTGATTATTATTATTATTATTATTATTATTATTATTATTATTATTATTATTATATATTATTATTATTATTATTATTATTATTATTATTATTATTATTATTATTAGCAGTAGTGGAATGATTTTCTAATTATTTATATTTATAAATCATTAAAGCATATAATAATATTATCGTAGTATTCATTTGTATGTTTCACATTATAAGTGTAAATATGCATTCAGAATTCAATTTATCTAAAAGTCCCTACATCCAATGATCTTTATCAAGAAGCGTTTTCAACAAATGATAAATCAAGCGACGAAGATTTCTAGAAATTGTATATGACGATGAATAATAAATTTTCACCGCCAAGCTAATGATTATACATAAATAACGAGACTTATTTTAATTTTTAACAATTTTTACAAAATCACGATTTTATCCAGCAATTAAAAGTTGTAAGATAATACTTATTGAGCATAGCTCATCGCGTGCCTAATATATTAATTACGATAAGTTATCGGGAAAAGCTTTTTCAGCCAAGATTATATTGTTCTCATTATATAAATAGAAATTTCAAACGTAAGCTCCATCTTCTGTTTCTCAAATATTCGATGCCATATGTGATAGAAAAGATTCACGATACCCACGGTTGATTTATCTATTATGCGGATAAAATCGCGCTGCATCTTTTCATTTTCTACATGCAGATATTTTGTGTGTGTGTGTGTGTGTGTGTGTGTGTGTGTGTATGTGTTATATACAAATTCTTGAACAGACAATAAATCATAGTTTTTCTTGACAGGGGTAGACTGATATATAGCAACTTAAATACTATAATAACATGCATTTATCAGTTTAATATTCACGTTACATTATATATTTTCTATTTTATATTACCTCTTTTATTTTTGCTAATCTTTCAATAGTTTTGCCATGATTTCGTCTATGTATTATTTCATATAATGCCTGAATTGTACGAATAACAATGAATTTTCTTAAAATTCACTCTGCCAACATTCGCACGGCTATAATTTAATTTTATTAAAACGAAAATTGCAATCAAATTCTTTGTTCCTTAGAAAAGGGTAATTACAAAACCCTCTCCGAGTAAAATATTTCAATTGATACTTCGAAGGACTTTAAACAGGTTATACGAAACAATGTACAATAGCACATCATAACTATATAAGGTACATAATGATCTCTGATTAAAAGGAAATTTATTTAAAACGTTGTGGCGCGACCGGCGCGCAACGTCAGAGATAAGGCAAAAAGATCGATTACATAGCTCCTTTCAAAAACTTTTCAAAAGGTCATCGACGCGTTTGTTTGTTTGTTCGTCTTTTGTCTAGATTACTTTACTAACACAACCATTATTAATGTTATGTAATTTTTTTTTTTTTTTTTTTTTTTTTTTTTTTTTTTACATACCGATATAATGGGGATTATAACATATTTGTTTGTGAAATCTGATTTTGTCGGAGTATCTTTCAATAAGAATCAAAAGGCGCTTATAAAAAATTTTTCGAGATATTCCATGTACAGGGAAATTTTTATAAAATTTCATTTTTCGTATCTATCTGGTTAAACGTCTGTATATGCTTTTGGAACTTTAAGTCGTGTCTCGAGTTTCGTTGGAATTTATGGAAAAATGTTTAATCTGATACATGAAATTGGATGTTCGGATGTTCGGGAATTAAAAAGGCACTTCATCTCCCATATGGACAGCGCTCCCACGAGCCTTTCCTCTTTACTTTGCAATGACCTTTAATTGCATGTGCTCGATAAACGAACGCGATCAAGCAAATAAAGTTGTCTAATGACACATTGATGGTGCGCGTGTCCAGGTGCTAATGGCACTAAATGTAGAAAAACTTTACAGGTACACCAGGTGATATCCTCGGAGAAGGCTTTGGCAATCTACGATGTTAAGCCACCGGAGCAGCTCGAGACGGTGGAGTCGCGCAACATCGCGTCCTCCTCGTCGTCCTCTTCGTCATCCTCCTCGGCATCCTCCTCGGCATCCTCCTCGGCATCCTCCTCGGCATCCGGCTCGACATCCTCCTCCGAACTCAATCAGATCCAGAAGAGCGTGACGATAGCCCCGATAACGGAGACGATCGCGGTGAGCGCGAGCGGCAATGTCGTCTCGGCCGCGGGCAATTCACTCGTCATTCCACGCCCGACCGCCTCCACGAATGTCATAGAGGCCGGGAACACGACTGGCAAGAGCGAGGCCAATGCCAGCTCGAAGATCGTCCAATTCACAGGCAAGCGGATCGCGGACGGCGCCGAGGACGTGAAGATCTTTCAGGCACCGCTCGTAGCCGCGTTCACGGTACAGCAGGACGAGCGAGGCGTTCCCAAAAGCGTCGTGCCCCTCTACAAGAGCAACTCCGAGGGTGGCTCGGTGACCCAGTCCCAGCCGCTCAGCCTCCAGGAGCAGCTCGAGTTTAAGCAACGTCTCCTGGAGAAGCAGTTACATCAGCTTCAACTACAGCAGGCCCAGCAGACGCAGCTGCTCATACGTCAGCGACAGGCGTACGAGGAGCAGCTTCGTCAGAAGCAGCAGCACGAGTTCTTCCTTCAGGAGCAGCGACGGATCAAGCAGTTGCAGGAGCAGGAGCACCTTCTTCAGCAGCAGCGACTCCAGCAACAATTCTCCGTGAATTCGTTGCAGCGGCTGCCCTCTCAGTCGAATTTTCAACAACAACAGCAGCAGCAGCAGCAGCAGCAGCAGCAGCAGCAGCAGCAACAGCAACAACAGTCCCAGCAGCAACTGAGTCTCGTCCAGCAATTGCCTCAGCAACAGCAGCAGCAGCCCTTCAAATCATCTAGCGTCCACCTGCAGCCGAGCATCGGCCTCGAGCTGCCCAACACTCTGCCAGCGCCCTCCTTCCACGGCCAACAACAGCAGCACCAGCTTCTTCGACCCTCGATCCAGCAGCACCAGCAGCGTCAGCATCACTTCCAGCAGCAGTTTCCCCTCGAGTTCCAGCAGCTACCCGCGGTCACGTCCCTAGCTAGGTTCAACCGTCAGGAAGGTTTCGGCTCGATCGGTAACTTCGGCTTTAACGGCTTCCAAGCTTCCGACGACGTCCTTAGAAATGGCGGCCAGTTCTTTGCCCAGCGTCCACCGCAGCCACAAAGTAACTTCATCTTCGGCGGTCTGAGACAGCAGCAGAGGCCATTCTCCCAGACACCCGCCAGACAGATCCAGGAGCTACTCTATCAGTCGGGCATCGCCGGCGATCTTCAGGGTGCCGGCACACGCAACCAGGAGGACGTCAATATCGTCTCGAAGGTGCTGGCCCTCAACGTTGGCGCTCTGCCCAATGGCGGGCAGAGACTGAAGGACTTCCACCAGCAACCGTTCGGCCCCCTCAAGAAGTAGTGACGCAAGACTGAGAGATTATATTCGGTCGCGTTGCCTGCGAGTGCACTTTACTCGTGTCTTTCTCTTTTGTTTCTTACTTTTTTGTTTTATTTTTTTTTCCCCCCTTTTTTTTCTATCTTCGTGGAGTTTCGATGGGAACGCGACAATGCACCTCATCGTCTTGAACGAATGACGAATGCATTTGAGCGAGCAACCTTTTGCTTATAAAGTTGGAACGCGCGACGAATGTATAATAGTGGCTCGATTGCAAGTTTCCATGAGATTTAATTCTTTTCTCACTCACCCACTCACTCACTCACTCACTCACACACACCCCCCTCTCTCTCTCTCTCTCTCTCTCTCTCTCTCTCTCTCTCATATAAATACTTTATAGAACTGGCAAATAAATTGACATATTTTAATTAGCGCGTACATGTTTAAATTGTAATGCTCGTTGAAGTCGTGCAAACTTATTTTATGAATTACTTGTGTCCAAAAACTGGCTTTCGTTACTTTTCTTTCGAAATGGAATTTCAACTTGAAAAACAGCTTAGGTTTAAGGAATTAACGCATTATAATATGTAAATTATTATTCATTCTCTCTCTCTCTCTCTCTCTCTCTCTCTCTCTCTCTCTAATTTAATCCACGATGTTCTATTTTTCAAATGAAAAGTAAAATACAATGTTTGCATGAGTAAATTTTATAAAAATGAGGCAAACGGTTTTTACCATTAACAAGCCCGTTTACCATTTCATTGTAATATTATTTAATAATTAAAGATAATTGACCCTCGGTTCTATTGACTTAGACGTAAGACTTTTTTTGTTTTTGTTTTGTGTTTTTGTAACGGAGTTGCAATGTATAACAGGGAAACATCGAAAGCTATCCATAATGTACATAAGTTAGATGGAGTCCTGTTTTTTCGTTCTTCTACTCGTTTCTTCACACTGCACACACTTATTATTACACGAGAGAAATTTCATACATTAAAGTATGCTCTCTCGGTAATTCATTGAAAAATCATAATTTATTTGCAATCCTATGACAATTAAAACATAAATTCTCTCGTGTAAAACGATTTGCTGCTTTATCCCGGCATTTCTTGGAAAAATTTTATCCTTACCTTCTCTTTATTCTCGTTTATATGCAATCTTGCAACTGTTCGTTAAAATAGCTCGATGAAAGCTGCTTAGTATGCACTATTTAAGCGCTAGAGAATTAATTTTCACGAGATTTTTATGGTTGATTCATAAACGTCGCATTTTTCTGCTCATATTACCAGTGAAGTATGTAATGTTTATTTAATAAAAGAAACTGTTAATCTTTACTTACGTTAATAAAAAGTAATCTACACAATTATTTCAAAATTCTGAAATTCTATACGTAACATTATTATATTTATACATATCGATTGTACCTGTAAAAACATAAGCTCAACTATACATTTTGTTTAAATAAATAAATTTAACACCAGATCATTGGCCAGTGTTAGAATTTATGACCCAACTAAAGTTAATTATTCAATTGCTATTACTGGAATTTTTTTCATACAAATGTCTGCTGTTTGCTGTTGCCTATTCAATGCCAAATTTTTATTGGCTGTCGTTTAAAATACGGCGGTCGTAGATCTTCAAGTGACAGTAATTGGATACTTCACCATACACTTTTCCCAATTCTTTCCCAATAGAAGCGATGCCATGCATAAGTACTTCGTAAGTGCATAATTCGTAATAGTGCATAATTAATTTAAAAAAAAAAGAAAAGAAAAAAAAAGCATCCGCTACCATAAACACACAAACGCGCGCGCACTCAAAGAAAAAAAAAAAAAAAAAAAAAAAAAAACTATTACTACCACTACTATTACGACCGATCATTACGGTGAATATAAACTTTTTCCCAGCAATCGTAATATTCGGCATAATCGAGTGTGGATGAAAATGGCCCAGCTTGACAATGCCAAGGCTCAATTAACAACAAAGACCAAGTTCAGACGTAAAACAACGCCACTTGGCCGTGCATTCTTTCGAAAACGAACGACATTGTGAACGGCATTGTGAAATCGGCCATTAATCATTCTATATTCTCCACCTGAGTGGGTCGCGCGAATGGAAAGTGCCCTTTTGTCCGCAACAATGGCAATCGCAACGTCGGTGCATTATCGAAGAATGGCCCCGAACGAAAGGGTCGAGGGTCCCCGAAGGAAAACCCGGGGCTCGAAAAAATACAGGCGCGCGATCTATATCGCAAGCATCGCCATTCGTACTTTCGCCACGTTACTACGACGCATCGATCGGGATCGAACGCAAGGCAAACACATCGCGCGTCCTCGATTTTGCCGAATTTCTCCGACACACCTTCTCCGCGCATACCGGCTTTCCATCCTTTCCATCCCCTTCGCCGCCGCCGCTGCCGCTGCCACCGCCGTCGCTCTCATTTAATTATAATTTAACGTGCGTAAAATTCAGGTCGATCTCGCGACGAAATGGAGAAGCGCACTGTCGCTTTCCAATCAGCTTGCCACGGCGATGTAGCCGATTTTTAAACGACTACTAGACTATAACGGTCGTTCGTCCTTCGATCATCCAGCATTTTATCAGCCAACTCCCCGCTTACGTCCTTAACGACGAAAATTGAATCCTCGGTAAGCCCGGGACGCGGTTGTCGGCCTTCATTAACCGCTCACCGATGATGAAAATATCCTCGGCCCTTCATGGCCGACGTCCGTCAATTCGCACGATAAGTGCGCGCGGGCCTCGAGAGCTCATTTTAAAACGTCCGATAACATTAATTCTGTAAAGTGTCGTTAATTAGTTGGCAGCTTTAATTGCCGCGCAAAAATCGAAAATCTCACAAAGAAGAAAATGTCGATTGGCAGGAACTTGACTTCATCCTTGAAGACCGCTGTCGCGAAATATTGTTTGCTTAAATAGACAATGCTCCCTAGGATGGAGGAAAGCAACATTGCCATTAAGATCGCCGATAAGAAGAAGGCTTACGGAACTTCTTCATTGTTTCTTCCCCATCGAACATAAAGAGCGGCTCACGGCTCTTCGATATTTCCAAGCACAATTTAACGAAGAGCTAATGGCGCGAGGCCCCTCGCTTATAATAATAAAATATAGCAAACGATAAATTACGAGGCTGAAGAGGGGAGGGCAATTCTCGATTCGGGATATATAACTTACATATGGTAATTGAGCGGGAGAAAAGGAACACCCAGCACGCGAGGTTTTCCACCTTGGCTGGGCGCTCCTTCTCCTTATCTTTCTCACGCCTATTGATCGATGACATCGAGCAATAGAGAAGCTACCGTGTTAGATTTCCCGCTGCAAGAGCGATCCGAAACATCACCTCCTCCTCCTCCTCCTCCTCCTCCTCCCCCTCCCCCACCCACTGCTCTATCACCGCTCTACCACAACACTCCTCGTCTATTCGCTCACTTTCCATTTCCATTCAGCCTGACGACGTGTAGTTTCCTCGCCAAGCAAAGCCATAGGTGCCCGAGGCATTTGTCTCGCCTCCCCCACGCTCGCGCCGCGATGCCGCAAAAATTATGAAATATCCGCGATTGTTGTGCCGCGAATATATTGTCTTTGGGCGAGCGCGAACGACTTCCCTTGATTAGCGAGATAATGGGAGAAAAATGCGAGTGCCGTAAGACGAGGCAAGTGCTTCCGGTCGGGCGCAATAGCGCCCAAGTTATTCCGCAAATCTTTAATCAATTCTAACTTTATAGCTATTCAAATTCTCGTACCTATTTCTATTAATACATCAGCAAACAAATGAAAATGAGGAAACAATTTGAATTTTCGTTATTTTAACGATGATCCGGGTGACGAGCAGTTAGTTGTTGTTATGACGGTCCCGAGTATCCGTAATACATTTTTTTACACGAGATAATAGATTTTTTTTTTTTTTTTTTTTTTTTTTTTTTTTTTACTATTATTATTATATTATATTAAGAGACAGGAGTAAACGGCGGTATTTATTGTGTGAAAGAAATGGAAGATTGACTTTCTTCGGCCGAAAAAGACAATGACCAATGTCAGTAATGAAAAGAGCGCTGTAACATATGAAATGAAATTAATATAATAAACTATGAAACAATGGTTGCTTTTGAAATTGCTTAGACGAGATTTGAAAGAAGATTGTTTCATTGCAGATGCGATAGCACGCAGTTTTTCCCTTATACTTCATAACAAAGACTTTTATTATCTGGTAGCGGAAAAAAAAAGAAGAAAAAAAAGAAGAAAAGAAAAAGAAAAAGAAAAAAAAAACGAACCAACGAACGAACGAACGAACGTTTCCAATATTTTGAATAACTTTATTTTTCAAAATATGAACTGTATTTTAAAAAGTACCTACAAAATGTATACATAATAATAATAAACTTAGCTAATTTTACTAACGAGGAGAATGTGAATTTCATAAACATAATGAATTTATCGATATTTCTATATTAAATTATAAAGGTGAACATTTAACAATCATACCAAGAAGAAAAAAATACAATATTTATAATAATATATAGAATAATCTACTATTAACTTCCGAAGATCACTTAATTTTTATAAATCGATATAGTAGAGTAATTTTTTTATATATATTCTTTATGATAAAAATAAATATGATAATTTAAAAATATATATGGTTTTAAAAATTATGCTGCGTTAAAATGATTTACGGTATTGATCTACATTGCAACACTTGCAGTAACAATACTATCTCATTTAGCCGCTTCAATTACAAAAAATAATTCGATTAATATTAAAACGGAGATATCTTTATTGTACACACATCTAATTAATGACTTAAGCCTAATCGATCTTTTGACCTTAATAGCCCATATCAAAACATTAATATTAAAACTGTACATCTTTTCATCATTTTTATAGATAAGATAGTGATATCTAAGTTTTAAATTAATGAAACTATTTTCAATTTTCAGAGAGATTTATTTAAATGTAGCGAATATAGTCGATGACGCATTTAACGTAAAATTTTTCTCTTTTGTTTTTTGCTTCGCCAGTCGAAACTAATAACAAATTAATTATATTATAACTGTTATTCGATGACATGTTATATGATTAATACGAAGCGCGTTATAATTTTTCATTGGTTAGAAGCCTTAAGCAATTGAGGCGTCGTACGTAACTTCATATCTCGTATAAATGTTATATTATCTTTAAAATTATTTTCCAAACTTTTACTAAGCAAACAAATGTCTCTTATTATACTTATTGCTTAATTTTCAATTAAATAATAAATTATTGAATGACCTGGTAATTTTTTTGTTTTTGTTTTTTTTTTTAATCAAATTGGTCATAATATTTGTCGTTAGGATGAAATCAATTAATTTTGAATTTGTGATCTTCAAAGTTAAAATTCTCATATTAGCAGCATACGAGCATCTTCTATATATTGTATTTAAATAAATATATATTTAAAAAAACAGCCGTTTGACCTTTCAAATTCGAATAAAACTGACTTAAATAATCACGTTTAACTACAACTCACCTGTTGACAATCAATTTTAATAATTATTCGCGTTTTGCCAATGATCATAAATTTATTCTAGAATTGCAATAATTTACAAGAACTTAAATTTGCATACACACATCATCTTACAAGATACGTGGGAGGAAATACCGATTGACCGTATGCCTTTCCATTATAATTTTTATCAGAGTTAACAAATGTTTTTACGAGTTTGGCTACACTTGATTCGTCATTCTCATGGTACAAGTAACATGCTTCCAATTATTAACGGAGACGAAATTTTGTTTGACTTGTATTAAGAAACACGTAGACAATTCGTTTTTCGTAAGATTGACACTATTCAGAAATATGTGAAAGAAAGAAATTCCTTTCTTACTAGTTAAATTTATAAAGAATGTTTAACTAAAATGACATAATGAAATTAATGCTGAATTTTGTTATCTGAAATTATATAAGCCCCGAGTGCATAGTTAGTTAGAATTTTATTAAACCGTAAATTATATTGTATCGAATTTAGCTTTCAATTAAATAACTTTGTTCGATTATCAATTCTTACACTAGAAATGTTTTATTGGAATGAGGGCTTACATCAAAGCACAGATGAATGATTAAATTATATAAAACTGAAGAAGTCGATTAACGTCCTTTTTGTTCTACAATCCTATTTACAAAATTAGATTCAATAGCAAAAGCTTACATTATTGTATAACTTCTTAAATACAATAACGATTGCGCATATATATATATATATATATTTTTTTTTTTTTTTTTTTTTTTTTTTTTTTTTTTTTTTTTTTTTTTTTAATTATGTCAGTTTTAGGTGAAATTATTATGATTGTAATGCAGATTATTTAATAGACAATTTTTGATCACTCTGTGCAATTATCTCAACATTTCTAGGATTCAATTATTTTACAATATCTCTCGGAAAAGTTTGATTAAACTGGCTTTCAAAATCGTACAAATTTATATTCTCTTCTTCAATTAACTTCATTTAATGAAAAATAATAAAATGATAATAATAATAATAATAATAATAATAATAATAATAATAATAATAATAATGATAATAATGATAATAATAATTATAATAAAATTAAGGTCGGGATTCATTGATTATTAGGTACAGCGGTGTCAATACCGAAATATTTTGCAAACATGAAAATAAAAGTATATTATTTTGTTTTAATAATTGAACTGACTTTTAAACACTTTGTGTTGTGAGTTATGTATAAGTGTATGTAGATATGTATATATATATATATATACGTATGAATATATATATATATATATATATAAATATACACACACACATATATATACATATATATTTTTTTTTCTTTTTTTTCTTTTTTTTTTTTTTAAGAATCGAAATACGAATTCTTTACATATTAGAAAAATTAGCCTAATATCGTTTACTTTTTTCATAGATATAGATGTTAACCTTTTGGCAAACGTAACATTTAGTCACAGAAATACTAAAATAGTATGTAAATAACATTTGCCATTCGTTTTACAGTTTTCTTTGATGTTAGTTTGTTTTAATATTTCTTATCGTAAAGCAATAATTGCCCCGAACAAATAATAATTTTGTTTGTTACTCGACAAATTGCTGATAGATCTCATTACATCTACTCTGTAATCTAAAATTAACCATTTTTTAAAAACCTTCTTGAAATTGTTTTGAATCTAATCTAGCTTGAATGACTTCCAGTTGCCGTTTTGCTTCACATTGTGGAAAATTTTGCAGATCATAATATTGAGGAGCAATTCTCAATAACCAATCGGCTAGAATTTAACATTAAAATTCAATTAAATTGTTGGAAGCTTTGTTAAGATAGATACCCATACATTCTATATACACATATATTCTTGTAAATCAAATACATACGTTTAATATCTGTCACTGTCCTAATGTAGTTTTTTGTAGTTAACACAAATTCATTATAAATTACCCAATCAGGTTTGTGATCAAGGCAAGTGCTAGGATGTAGTTGAACAATTTGATTATCTTTAATTGTTAAGTATTGACCGGTTCTTTCAAGATGAGCAACCTTAAACAAAATTAGTTTTATCAAATTTTAAACGACAAGTTCATAGTTAATGCAAATCAAACCAATTATATGTTTCATTAAGTGAAATTACCTGCATAAAGAAACCATTTACAAGTGCTTTCCTAATGTTTATATAATAATCTTTAGAAGTAAAATCTGTTGACGTCCGTTTCAACTGAAATCGATCCATAATTCTACTTAATTGTTGTCTTACATTATCACCATTTTTCAATGACCTATAATTCACGAAATTATCGTAACACCATTGTGGATCTTCTTGGTCTGTCGAAAAAAAAAAAAAAAAATAATAAAATTACATTTAGGAAATAAATATGCAAAATTTGAGGAGCTCTTATTTAATTCTCGATGTACTTACTTTGCTTAAAAGCGTGATATACATTTAACAGCGTAAGATGATCTCCATCGATATGTGCAAAACGCATTTTTGCTTCGTCCGCAGCTTTCTTTGCTTCATTAGGTCTTACAAAACACTGTGGGACTAATAATACATCGATCATTAATAACAAAAATCGCTCTAAGACAGATACCAACTCTTTAATGAGATTAAAAGGGGTGAAAGAACAAAAAAGAAGAGAAAAAAAGTAAATCCACGGTTGATGTTCAACGAGATCAATAATATAAGTTTCACACAATAAATATCTAGTAATCCATCGTACCTGACAACATTGCTGTAATGCTGAGAATTTCGTTGCTGCAGTTATGATTGCAGGAGGCAATCAACATTTTGGCAAGTTGAGGATCTAATGGAAATTCAGCCATTACGGCACCCAAATCTGTCAAATTTCCATCGTCATCTAAAGCGGCAAGATAATTTAAAAGTTCCAACGCTCGCATAAGGGTTTCTGGAGCAGGTGGATCCATGAAGTCAAAATGCACCTAAACGATTATTAAATTAATAATTAATTTTGTTGCGAACGATGAAGGAAAAAATGTAAGTATAATTACTCTTAATTAAAAGAGATCTAAGTTTCGCTCAAAATTAATTTCTGATACTCGACAACTTAGAATTATAAGTAAAATCAGTCTGTAGCAAACGTTTGCAATAACGTTAATTGATAATGTACATTTAAAATTAAAAAGAATATAAAAAGAAAAACAAACAACCGTATTCGACTATTGTCTTTTTTTTTCAAGCGTAACCAGTTGCTGGCTAGGATGTATACGGTACGTTACTCAATAAATAATAAAACCTTGGCTTTCGTGACAACTACGACTTGTATTTGGCACAAAACAAAATTTACCTCCCCTTAGCTGTAATTATTGTTAATAATGAAAGCTATAGAAGCGATATTAGCAACGACAGTATTAATGGTTGTGATAGCGAGGATAATAATACAATGTTTGAATTGTCGCTGGTAGCAAAACAAAGATTCATCGGGGTCAATCAGGGTGGCAAATGGTGCTTGCCTGCCTCCTTCACCAAGCCTTACCAGGTCGTCGATTCCCAGCTTCTTGAGTTGCAGTACGACGCTGCCCAGATTCGATCTTAAGATCTCGGGATAAGTGTTCTCTTGCATTTCATTCTTATAGGCCTTCTCGGTGTAGAGTCGGAAGCACTTTCCAGGTCTTGTTCTGCCGGCTCTGCCAGCCCGCTGTTGCGCTGAGGCCTTGCTGATGGGCGACACGAGGAGTGACTCGACGCGTATCCTCGGATTGTAGACCTTCTGCTTGGCGAAGCCGGGATCGATTACGAAGACAACGCCATCGATCGTCAGGGACGTCTCGGCGATATTCGTGGACACGACGACCTTGCGGCCGATACCGCCGTTAGGCTTGGTGGGGGGCGCGAGCTCGAAAATGCGCTGCTGGAGGTTCGGCGGCAGGGTCGAGTAGAGGGGTATGCACTTGAGCTCGCCTACGTCGGGCCCGAGGCTGTCCATCTCGCGCTTTATCCGCTTGCAGGCCTCCTCGATCTCCTCCTGGCCGGTGAGGAAGAGGAGCAGGTCGCCGGGCACCTCCTCGCACATGTGAATCTGGATAACGGTACGTATGGCTGCCTCCAAGTAGTCCCTCTCGGGCTCGGGCGTGTAAAATATCTCTACGGGGTGGGTGCGACCAGGTACGTTCATGAGGGGCGCGTTGTCGAAGTACTGCTGAAATTTGCCGGCGTCCAGGGTGGCGCTCATAATGACGAGTTTGAGATCGGAGCGCTGCTTTATAACCTCCTTCAGGACACCCATGAGCAGGTCCGTGGCGAGGGTGCGCTCATGGGCCTCGTCCAACAGTATAACTTGGTACGCCTCCAGCATAGGATCTGACATACCCTCGCGAAGTAGCATACCGTCAGTCATGTATTTGAGAATCGTTTTTGCAGAGCTGCAGTCCTCGAACCGAATGCTGTAACCAACTTCCTGACCTGCGACGAATAAGTTTGTTATTAGTTTTGAGGAGGGACGTACTTGCAATTGCACGGTGAGAGGGCATTGGGCAGGTTGAGAGCGCTTTAATGGCAATTCTTTTCGAGCATAGGACCTGGGAAGGACTATCCACGATGGATGGTTATTCGTGCTTTGGTTGTTTGGCTTCGAACATGGATGCCCGCACGCACGTGTCTTTTACTAACCTAACGCAACGTCCATTTCTTCCGACACCCTCTGAGCAACGGACATGGCTGCCACTCTCCTCGGCTGTGTGCAAGCTACTGCCTTTGTACCGATACTTCTCGAATACTCGACGCACCATTGTGGTATCTGCGTTGTTTTTCCAGAGCCTGTTTCGCCCACGAGGACGATGCACTGATGTTGAGCCAAGAGACGCATAAAGTCGGCTCTGTACTCAAACACAGGCAGCGTAATTCTCTTCTTGTAAAACTCATGGTAACGAGCTGTGTACGGTAATCCAGTGTATGGATTTAACTGCACTTGATTCTTCTGTGTCATAGTGGGTCCAGCTGTGGTCGCTACATTATTCACCGTTGTACTGGAAAATAAAACAGAATGGAAAGTGCAATGGTTAGCATTTATTTATAAAGTACAATTTTGAGCTAACGATGCTACATCGATCCAGACATTAAAAGACACTAAAAGCTCGTTGAAAAATGTCAACGCTATAATTTTCTAGCCATTGAAGAAAAGAAGCATTCATCGGGAGGGTAAGTTGAAAATAAAGACACTGCAATATGCTTGAACTGCATTTATAAAAAAAGCATAGGGAACGGTGACCAAAGTTTCAATGTCCCTTATCGCCGCATCCCCCATACAAGAATAATAAATAAAGTGCTTGGAGAACAGGGTTTGGAGCATCGAGTAGACAGACCAACGAATGGATTGGAAAGGACAGCAATGTAAAAATTAAACGAATACCGCATAATAATCGTACCTTCCACGGGCTAATGATCCCGGTAAGACTGCGAAAGACATAATAATATCAGGGCCGCGCGAGTAATGAAATTGAGTTGCGGAGCAGAAAGAAGCCCGGTTGGTGATGAGTACTAATGAAAATAGCCGAGCAATCGTAATAAAATCCGGACGATAAATCAAGCAAATGGCAGCAGAGTCTTGGTTAATGGATGAAAATAAAACCGCGCCGAGAGGTGCAGGAGAGACGCGACAATTGACGAAAGGCCAAAGGCTCTTGGGTATGCGGATGTGCGGTAATAACCACGTCGCTCAGATTCTCCCGAACACGAGCCATGCGCGCACATTTGGACTGCCGAGGTTAAACAATGATTCGAACTCGAGTGCATTGTATCCAGCGCTGCGAGCACGAGAGCACAAAGAAGAGGAAGGGAGAGAGAGAGACTAGGACGAAGGGTAGTAACTGTAAAAGGAGGGACAAGGGAGAGAGTGAGAGAGAGAGAGAGAGAAAGAGAGAGAGAGAGAGAGAGAGAGAGAAATTGCGTGAGTCTCGTGAAGACCGATTTGATATTGAGAGGTAGGAGAGCTCGTCGGGGACCACGAGGATACCTCTATCGATACAAGTGACCGCTCGGTACTAAAGTAGCGCTGCTTTTTCCCGGAATTTTATGTCCCTGGGGTACTAATTAGCCGGAGAGCGGTACTCACGTTTTCCGTTTGACGTACGGATCGACGACCTCGATCCTCCGCTTGGACATCGCAAACCGAGTGGTGACTCGATATTAGCACAGGTCGTCGTCGTGATCGTCGTCGTCGTCGTCGTCGTCGTCGTCGTCGCCGTCGTCGTCGCGACCGCCACCGCCAGCACCACCGCCTGCACCACAACCACCACCACAACCACCACCGCCGCCGCCGTCGCCGCCGCCGCCGCCGCCGCCGCCGCCGTCGTTATCGTTATCGTCGTCGTCGTCGTCGTCGTCGTCGTCGTCGTCTTCGTAATTGTGGTTGCGATTCAGTTGTTGCGCTTATCGTCGTCGTCTTCGTCGTCGTGGCCGTTGTCGTCGTCGTGGTCGTCGTCGTGGTCGTCGTCGTCGTTGTCGACAGCGACGACGCACACGTTCTCGGCCGTGCCTCGGGGCTACGACGGGAACCGAGCGCGCGACAACAATCTAGCGACTACGGAAGTGGGGAACAGGCGGAGGAAATGGTAGGGAGCGGAAGGGGTGGCGCGAGGGAGTCGATCGGGCCCTCGCGCGCGGACTTTACGAGGCTCGCGGTCGCTTTGACCAGGCGCCGCTATCACGACTGGGGCGTCTCGCGAGTCCTGAGAGTATACTGCCGATGAGACCGCCACGCCGCGCAGAGCACACGAGGCGTCACAAAATGGCAAGCGATCGCGGACGGGATACGTCGGCCATGCTTGTTCAGCCTTTGCCCGGATAGTGACGTCAGTCCGGCAACCACAGCGGCCCCAACAATCACCAGGACGTCGCTAGTGCCTTTTCCAGCGGCGCTAATTCACACAATGACGACGATTTCGTTCGTCGTACGTCGACCGCCCTGTTCCTCCCACCCCCTTGCCATCCTTCATTCATAACCCCCACTCGTGGCTGATCAATTCTTGTGAAATAGCGGAGGTTTAGTGCCGCTAGAAGCGTTCGAGCTCCGCCAGTAAGTCAGTTTGGTGTTTAAGGGCTTCTGCACATTCTATTACGCAGTCTCGCTTTTGAGATTTAATTTTATGTTGTGCCAATCGGCTTAAATGGATTTTGTGTCGAGACTCTCGCCGACCCACGATCGCCAATGAATTACTTCCTTACATTTATCATTGCTCTTGGCTTTCCTCCTCGATTTTCTCGATGAATCGATTATGCACGCTAGCTCTCCCTCCCGTCCTCACTCACTCTCTCTCTCTCTCTGTCTCGACCTTCTGGGAAATCCAATTCAATTCCAATTACTTATACTTTCTAAATTCTTTATTAATATTAATTACTTATTTGCGAAAGCACCAACGTCACGAGTGTTATTTCTTCTCTCTGTCTGTCTGGAAACAAAGTTTCCTTTATCATTTACAATACTTATTTTCAGTTGAATCTCTGTACTAGAGTGATTGGCAATAATTTTATCAGTAACTTTATCACAATTTAATTATAATTCCATTATCTCGTAGCATTTACAATTACAAATTACAACACGGTTGACTTTTCCCGGATGTAGGCATAGCGGCATTGTTAGATTAGATTATGCAAACGTCTATGTTTTAAATGACTTTAATTTCATATATTATTCATACTTTGTTAATCAATGTTAAATCGATGCATTAACGTGAAAGCTCGTTAATTCGCTCACTGAGAAGTTACCTTATTGCTATTCATTTAGAAATCATGATGATTAACAATTTACAAAATACCAACAAATGCATAAATCCAATAGAGTAACTGAAAGTAATAAGTAATGAAAACAAAACTTTATTAATAAAATGACAGTTTATAAATATACTTTCTAATAAAAAATTATAAAGTTGATCAAATAATGTATAAAGAAAAAAATGTTAACTTGAAACACCTATTCCATATGCGCCCAAGTGCTTTAAGTATCTAAAATTTATTTTCAAATTTTATAATATATAATATAGCCTATGTATGAATTTATGGATAGAAAATTCTTATTTCGGTTCTGCAATTATACACAATATATTTTATTACTTAAAAGTATTTAACTAAATATTAATATTTCGAATAATGTATATTGCTTCGTTATCACATCCAAATAGTACTGTATTTTTGTTGATGTCGATACTATTTATTGGCTTGTGCATTGGAGTACATAGAGAATTCACGTGTAACTTCCCTTTATTTCCAATGTTATTTAACCAATGGGAGTCTGTAGTATCTGTAAAATATAAAATTCGAGCATAATTCTTAGCTTATGTTTAATTATTTTAATAATTTTAATAACAATTAATGATCGATGACTTGGATATATTTAAAAATATACCTAAATTTAATTTAGAGTGTTGAGTATTATTCCAATGCCAAAGCTCTCCACTGATAGAGCAGGTAAATAGATTTTCTGGTTGGTCGTTGTGAAATAAAATTTCACTCACGCTTTTACAGTGCGCGCTTAATTGACTAATTGGATATGTATTATAGCGCAAATCCCAAACCGTCAGACTCCCATCTCCACCACCAGCTACAACTATATGTTTCTGCGTTGGGTGATGTGCAATGCTCGTAGCTTCTGTCTACAAGCACAAGTGATCGTTTAAATTTTATTTTTCCAAAACAAATTTCGTTGATAATTAACAAGAAATTTTTTTCATTCCGTCTTTGCTTAGGAATCTAATTAATTTTATGACACATTGTTAAATTATAAAAATTACTTTTGATTGTTCCGAAAGCATAATGGTCGTTGCGGGTGTATCCTGTTCACTACGTAAATCCCATACTTTCATATGCCCTCGGATATTTCCAGTGAGAATTTCGCTGTGTCGCAAAAAGTCAACGCAATGCAACGAGCAACTATCCGCTTCGTCTGTTTATACAAATGACAAATTTTAATAAGCAAACCAGACGCATAGCTAATTAACTACATACTAATTTACCGATCGTTCGAACTGGATTGTTTTGTTGGGCTGTAAGTAAATTTATTCTACCATCTTCTCCAACGGTGACGATATCCTGTTCGAAAGTTGATAACGCGGTACAGGATGCGGGCTCTTTTTGACTAAAATAAAATTATATATAATAATATATATCTAATAAATAATGTACATCATTAATAGATAATAATAATTTTTCAATTCATCAAATAGACCAACTTAAATCGGTGTATTAGATCCCACGTGCTTTCCTCTTTTATATCAGGGTATGGATTATCTTGAAGTTTTAATACTTTAACAGTTCCAAGCGACGACGAGGCAACAAAATGATCGTAACTAATAAACTTCATTTCTGTAACATCGCCAATTACTGGATAAGCAGAAATATTGACAGGATACAGTTCGTCTTCATCATTTTTTTGAAATGTCCAGTAGCTTATTTTATTGACCTGTTTAAACAATAAAACTTGCAATCATTATTAATTTCAGAATAAAGTAAACGAGATTTTAATATAACATAAAAGCATAATTAAAATAAAAGTAGAGTGTTGTTGCAAGGCTTGCAGAAAGTGACTCGTAGAAATATGCAAAAGTATATTAAAAAAAAATATATATTTAACAAAAAAAAACAATTGTAAAAAGAATGTGGAAGTTTGCTTTAATTAAATTGAATTTAAGGTTAGTTATAAGATGTTATTATTAAAGAATACACGACAGCAAAAGGAACCAAAAATAAAAAAAAAATAACATTAATATCATTAGCTTGAGAATTACAGGCTCATATAATAATGATACCTATCATTTGCAGTTGAAATGCAAAAACTAAAATGTAAATTGGAAATTAAGGTTAAAAACTTACCGCATCGTCCCAACTGCCGGTTACAAAATGTTTGGCATCTGAAAATTGCTCATGCCTCCATCTAATTTTCGATATTTTTTCTGACACAAAGGTTCCTTGCACGTTCTCAGTCATCCCGACGACTTTATCCACTCGAGCTACAAGTACTTGTCTTAATTATTAAATTCACTTTCTAAACAAAAGCGCGCGTGTTAATTTCATTTAAAGTTTTGAATTGCCCTCGAATAATCGAAGTAGCATTGGGGCTTCGAGAGCTCGTGGCAGAGTTGCTGAACGCCCGACTGTAGGCAACAGCGAGAATCCCTTTAAATTCAAAAAAATTCGAAATATATTTAGAAAGGGACAATAAAATTGATGCAAGCGCAATGATTTTATCTTGGCTCTTCCGTATTCCGTATTCCATTACATTTGGCTCATCTCGCAGGGGCAACGCACTCGCTCGTAAAATGGCTTTGGTGATTTTAAAAATGTTCCTTGTGCTTGTGATCATTAATGCCGAAGTAAACAATAGTAACAAATCCATAGAACAGCCACTTAGGAAAAACGGTAAATTATCAGGAACAAAAGTGTTTGTCAGTTCGATTGAAAAAATTCGCAACTAATACTAAATTTTTGTTGTAATAAAAAACGTCTATGTTGTATGGTTAAAATGTCTTAAAATACCTGTTGTAAAATAGGTTTATTTGTAATAAACGTGTAATTTTGTTTCATTAACTAGACATTAAAAAATTCGGTTAAGCCTTGATTTTTTTATGGTTTTTGTATTACGAAAAAACGATCGGCTGTTTGGTTATTCGTATAACATTAAGATGAGAATTGTTACAAAACTGCATCGTCCATCCGTTGATAAAAATTATTACAACAAAACGTATGTGGTAAATATTAATTAAATTGACAATGTATAATCGTGAATTAATGATAAATAGTGCCTCTATAATTCGAGAAAAGCGTTGTAAGTATTAATACTATATGTTTTTTTTTTTTTTTAATAATTTAAATTCTTTACTTTTATATTCAAATAAAATCATCGAATTACTTTTCTTTTTTACATGAATTACATCTACGAGATTGTCGACATACTATCTTGCGTCATTGCTCATTTAAAGACAAAATATTTTATACTAAAATTTTTTAAATCCATGATGTATATAAGACTCATTTGTTTTTAATGAAAAATTTATAAAAAAAATATCTTTCATTAATTTACTTGGTTCTCCTTTAACGTAATATTTGAAATATATCTACGTGCATATATCCCGTAATTTCAAAATGAAAGGAATGAAAATTTACTCAAAACTTATTTATATCAAACTTCCTCTAACATATTATAATTATTCGTTATTTTTTTTTAAGGTTATGTTAGGTACATTTTTTATACTGCGCTCTAATTTTTCATTATTGATAGTTTCATAAATATTACAAAAAATTATAATTACAATTTTATCATTTTTGTTTTCGTTAATTATATTAAAAGTATGATCCATCTCGTGCATTGACTTTATTAAACTTGTATATTTAGATAATACGATTTTATTCTCGATTTTAATTTTATGAAGTACGTTTCTACGTAATACAATAATACAAAGATCCTCAGTTGCAACTCAAATATTTTCATATTACATATTACTTTTGCCAATTGTAAAATATAAGATATTTCTATTATTCTTTTGCTGTAGTTTCGCATTTAACGTATTAACCCTAAATTTCATAAAGCATTGTAATTACGCGCTGTATTAGAAAGCAAATATATGATTATTAATATTAAAATTTATTATATCCAGTGCTTATAAATCATTAATTTTATTTATTGATATTATAAATACGTAATGTTAAACGTAATGCTTGTAGTTGCTTATAATCCTTATAATCTTCTGCTATTCGATAATTATCTCTAAAATTTTAGCCTAAATGCATTTTGCACAACTAATATTTATTCCGAGCTTAATCTATGTAGACGCTTATGGGTGATATTTTATTTAATATGGCTTATAATTTATCTCTCGTATCTTTAATTTCTTTTGAGTAACATTATCAAGCCAGGTGAATCGTAAATGTTAGCAAGTGCATCTGGTAGAAAGAGTTATCTACGCAAGTGGAGAAACACCAATTATCGCTTATCGTAGAATATTCTTTTGAAATACAACGAGCAAGAGACCTTTAATTATAGAATTTAACGAAGAAACGAAAATATGGCTGACAAAAATGAGGATCGCAACACACTTAGAGCCGATGGTTTCCGTACTTCTTGTTCATTTCGTCTCTCGTATTTTATTAGTTAGTGCAGTTGAATGGCCCACGTGAACTTTCATACAGACTCACAAAATCTTTATATTATACTTTACAAAGCCAGAGTCGACACGGCATTTTATGATTGAATTACAGAAGCTCAAGCATAAAAATAAAAATGAATAAAACTTTTCAATTTCCCGCAAAGCCCATAAAATTCTTCTCTCTCTCTCTCTCTCTCTCTCTCTCTCTCTTTGGAGAATACTGACGCTAGAGAATTTGGATTTCTTTACTCCAAAACCATTATGACATTTCCAACAGCAACACACCAGTCTTACGCATAATTTTGAATTAGCGTGCACTAATTTACAGCTCCAGTTCGCTCGGAGTCGTGATTTCCGCTCTCTTGTGTCATCGCATAGTAGCTTACGTGATGAACCTACAGAATTACTTTCTTTCTGGAATACATCGTCCCATAATTGCTTCATTTCTCATATCTTGTGTGAATTTTACTATGCTACAGCCTACGATGTAACTTGGGGTGTGGGCGTGTATGCTGTCATACGTAACATAAAATCTATGTAATAATATCTTTCATTGATTCTCTTTGCATACACAGTCCCACGAGTACTTAAAATTTTTTCATTGAAGCGATTCTTATTTTAGCTTCCTTCCAATTATAAAAAAGTGAAATGAGATTTTGTTTAAAAATAAGAGTATTATTAGAGATCGCATTATTCTTTGGAGTATGAAAAAACTGTTAATCATGCGAAGAAATACTATTTTTAAACATAATGCCGTTCGTCTATAAGTCAAGCTGATTACCTACGTAATGAAATATGAGATTGCTTTAAATTACATATAAGCGTGCCTATACTAAATTTAAGATTACATTTAGAAAGAACGAAATGACATATTACTCGTGACTAATATTACTTAGCGATATTTCTTAATTATAATACCTCTTTAATCGTACATCGTAAATTCTATTAATTTGTTCAAATTCTTATAGTTTTCTATAAAATAAGATTATTAAAAAGTGAAATTTCATACAAAATATATTGCTTTTGACTTTTCAGCTTTGTAAATTCGCATACGATTTGTCCATTATTGATTTCAAACAACTGTTGCTAAACCTAAACATTATTACTAAAATTGTGAATACCTGATCAAAATTAATAAAGCCACATTATCTTGAACTAACAAAATATACGATTACTATATTGAAAACAATTGAATAGCTTTTACTTTATCGGTTAAAAGAATTATTAACATAATTATACTCTCTTATGAATATATAATTTATTGAATTTCTACGCCTAAGAATGTGCGCCTAAGAATATCTTAAAGTATTAAAATTATTGATTAAATCATTTGCAGTGCACTGATCGCTTAAGGACGTTTAAAAGTAAATAAAATTTTGAGGAAATATTTACTAAAATAAATATATCGTATAAACCCAAGTAGTAAATATTTTCATTTATTTTATCATTTGAAAAGTTGTTGCATTTTTTATACCAAATTTTATTAATTGTATTTTGAACCAATCGAAATAATATTGAACTTTATTGTCATTATGTATTACAATAGTTGGCCTTTTTATATCATATAAACATAAAAGAAGCAATTTTTGGTATACCAAGCTAAAAATAAAATACAAGTATTGTTTAAAGAAATTTAATCAATTTTTATCATAAAAAATAATATTACGAACAAGTGACAAATTTCAATTTACTAAATTTATTTCTAAATTTATTTCTACTAAATTTGAGATTTACGCATTCATCATTTTGCTTCTGCATTCTGCTAATTTGATATTTGTGAGTTTCTATTAAACCATCATTCATAAAGAAAATTATCCATGTTTAAAACTCATCACAAATGATTAAAAATAAATAAATGAAAGCGATCAGAGAGCCTAAAAGACGAGTGAGCTCAAAACACTTTTATATATGTTATTGATAAAAACGTGATACCGTCTGTTTAGAGTCCCTACAAGGAAATTCTATTTATCAATTTCAACGCAAGAACGCCACACTTTTTCGCCAAAAATCTACCGCCATCATTTACTAACTACAAATACAACAATTTTATAAAGCAGAAAACTTCAAAAAAAAAAAAAAAAACGTAGCATCTTAAACATAATAACATAATACCTCGTCCATTAATGGTGTAATTATTATAATTTGGTTGTCATATATTATCACATACAAAGACGGTCATTTGATTGGCGAAGAACCATGATATTTTTATATACGGACATATTGACAAAACATTTTAGACTTTCAATTTTTGAATTTATTTGCTTTTACGTTTTGCAAATGAATATTCTAGGGATATGAAACATTTTCCATCAACTGTTTAATGTAAAATTAATTTTGAAATTTGAATAGCGTCAACTCCTCAAATATCGCTATTATTATCGATGAATTTGGCCAAACTTTTTATTTAGCATATCAATTACGAATTTCAATCGAAATAATTATTTTTAAAATACGTTCTTTTCTATATTATAACAAATTAATATCAACATAAATAATATATAAAATCACAATGGCCCCTGCTTTTTAATCTTATTCATAAATGCTTTTCATAACTTGCTTTCTATTATAATACCTCTTTATTCTCAAGTAGTATATTAAACTGTACTATTTGCAATTGCAATTTCTTTAATTTATTTAAAATAATATAAACTCTATTTAACAACAACAACAACAACAACAACAACAACAACAACAACAAAACAAAAACAAACAAAAAAACTCTATTTCTTGCACACCTAAAAATTCAAAGAATTAACCTGAATATTAATGAGAAAATAATATACTATGCACTTAGTACTATTCATTTTTAGAAAACCTAACAGAAGTTTTTAAAATAAGCTTTTCAAATGAGAGTGTCGTATCGGAGATGCAATACGCAATCTGCAGTATAAGAACCGAGGACGTTTTCGCCAAAGCACAATCAACGGCATCAAGGATTTTGACTGGAGTTTGCACATCCGGTAAAAAATAGAAATTAATCTTTACCACCACTATTATGACAATTTGATAATCCATATGTAATATGAATATGCAATATGCAATGATAATGACAACGATAATAAACGATAATACGTATGATTTTTACACATAATTTGATTTTATTATAATCAAATAAAAATGATCATTTGATCGAGATTTTTCTTAATGGCTTAGAGCAATGGAGAAATTTTCTTAATCCCAAATAACGCATTTCAAATAATTTTTATGACAATATCAAATAGTAATCAATTATGAAAATAATATAAAATTTGCCAGTTGGAAATTTTCATAATTATTAATTATAGTCTATTTTTATACTTTCTTAATGTTACAGAAGAAATGACGAAGACCTTCAAGAACTTGGAAAAAATATTTTTGGAGAAACTCGACCAAGTACAACAAACTTTAATTGCATTCATTCAATCAAAATATCAGCCCAATATTCCAAAGAAAATTGTCAAAAACTCAAGATTATCTGCTTTTAAAACAGTAGACTACTTATTTAATAAGAAAATATTTACAAATTACACATAAATTTTAGTTATGATTTATATATTTCGATGCTTCATTTATAATCATTGTGTGTGTGCGTGCGTCTGCCGTGTATACTCTGTTTACATTTTTTGAATACATTAGCCTACAATACGAGATTTTATTCGCAAATAAAGATATCGTTTGTTCAGTCCCATTATGTTTTTATTTATAATAATGAATGTATAACAAATATAAATTAAATATTAAAATTTTTATTTAATAGATGAAAATAAAGCAATAATAATCAATGAGAAAACTATTATTTAAATTAATTGTACATTTATTTGATATTTCGTTTATAATGAATTATAAGTATTATAGTTTCAATACACATTACAAATATTTATTATAATTATAATATATTAGCAGAATATTATTCTTACATTAGGAATATACATATATAAATGATTTTCCATGATTTTATATAAATATTACCGAGTTTGTCCGTTTAAGCTATTGTTTATAAATATACGGTACAATTAATTACAAACATATTGTAAAAATGTGAAATGTATGGAAATATAAATTTACATTTAAAATTTTCCAATAAAGCTAATAATATTTTTAATTACATTAAGCATATTAAATTATATGAAATTGAAAATTATCGGTATTGATTCGATCAAAATTGAGCTTTAATTTAAACGTGTTTTGTCCATAGTAATTTTTAATAAATTGACGTGAAAGAATTATTTTTTGAGATTTGTCATCTTACTTGCTTAATTATTAATTATATAACTAATGCTTAATATACAACTGAAAATGTACATTTAAACGGGAAATAGGAAATAGTTCATGTTCGAATTATTATTCATTTGTCTAAAGTTAAGGAAAATATTCTAAAACAATGGTTCACTAAATACCGTTACTTACTTTGTTTTATCAATGTTGACCAAATTATACCAAATAGAATTCCAAATCCAACTGATACTCCAACTAGTACTAGAGTCTTCAATTTAATTTATATTTTCTCATTTAATCGACCACTTTATGTTCATATAAATATTAACACTTTCATAATAAAAATCGTGAAAGTATGATGTAAATTAGAGAGTTTTAGAGACTTTGATGATTAACTTTCAATTTATAAGTATAAAAAAAAAAAAATATATATATATATATATATATATAAATAATATGTATTAGCAAGATGTGAAGTCTCATCGGTGAAAGTCAATCATACTTGACAATTTTGTACAAATTTTTGTAAGTAACTTTTAACGATTAGCATATATGTTTTCAATAAAATACATTGTATACAATCATAAAATTTTTGTATTCAACAAGCTGATTCGAGAGCAAAATCAATATTACCAAATATATAATATAATAAATTTATTAAAAGAATTAATGAAACAAATTAATTAAGAGTCGATACCATATATAGATTATTTATATGTATTAGTTACGTTATCATTTATACAACTGAAATACACTATTAATGGAATTTATAATCATGCGAATCCATTTGAGAAGTATTTTGCCATATGATATACAGAACAATTGAGTAATATTGTATTTTCATTTACCATTAATAAACTTCTTTATGTTCATCAATATTCCTTCAATTTTAATTATAACAATAAGATAATCAAAGTATAAAAATATTGAGAGAATATAGGGAATTTTACCGAATATTTACTCATAGTGTAAGCATTTGAACAAATGAATAGCTACAAATCGATGCACTTCTTATTTTAATTATAATTGCCTTTATCCTTAAAAGCAGAATTATTCTAAAGTATAAATATATAATTTGTGGTATTTTGTTTTAATTTAATTTATATAGCAGCATGGTTCCTAACGCGATCATTAATTGAATAATTAAACGTGACAAATAAAAGACAGAATGTTAAGCGATGAAGTTCGATTAACTAATTAATAAGTATTTTAAATCAATTAATACATCAATTATGAATATTAATACATATTTACATTATAACATAATGATAATACAACTATTAATAATTAATTTTAACAATTCATATAGAAAGAGTCGAGATTTTTATTCGATTACTAATCGATTACGAATGAATTAAAAATAATAAACCTATAAACTATAAAGAATTAATAGTATAGATAATTAAATATAGAGATCAATGTAAAATATCAATAATAAATAGATCATATGGAATTAATAGAACAATGAAATTAATCGTAGGTATATTTACAATGATAAAATGAAATAAAGATTTACTAATTAAATCTTCTGTTATAAATATCTTGCCGATCTTCTTATCCTTTTACATACGATAATATTATTTTAAGTCCTGCGTTTAAACTTATCGATTCGAGGAGACAGAAAATTTCACGACAGAATAACTTCGAAATAATAATCGTGAGGAGCGGATAGCGTTGAATTTTCAGTAAATAACGAGTAATAATTCATCGGGCAGGTTTACAAATGTACTTACAATTACTAAAATTGCAATATCGCCATTCGCGATGTAAGTAGGCAAGATTGGCTCTCGAGCTACTAGGACACTGATGTAACAATAGTAATTAGTAATAACATCCGTGATCGGAATATGTGTGAGACCAAGAGCGCGAGTGGGCCGCTTCCAAGGGCAGCGGGAGTCGTCGGCCAAGCCCAGGTCAAAGCCGTCGAGGCGAGCCGCTCAATATACCCGGGGCTCGGCCTGAGCGTGCCGCAGTCGCATCCTGGCCTCGGCGTCCGCGGCTACGCGCAGCAGCGCTCGGTACACCGGCACCGGCAGCTGAAGGCCTTCGTAGCCGGGGCCCGCATACGCGGGATCGCGCTTCCTCCCGCATCCTGCGAACACGTGACAGCATCAGCAATTTCGAGGTTGGGGCCAAGCAATTGTTGACTGGACACCTTCTGCATTAACTATCAATTCTCCCGAGATTTTCAAACTTCGTGTCGTGCAGGGAGCGACGAAAAGTTAGAGAGAGAGAGAGAGAGAGAGAGGGAGAGAGGACGGGTAAGGAGTAAAAGGAGCATGGATGAGAGAAATTGGATGAATTCGATAAGGGATATTACCTGTTTCTTCACTCATTTGTGCAATCGACTTAAATTTAAAATCGCATTTATTTGGATTTGATTTTTGCTCCTATCAATATTACGACCAGCTAGTATCATTTATGTAGTTTATTCATTATAGCTATTAATATGTATGAAATATCTTATAATATTATTATAATTATCATATTATTCTTGTTTATTGCTATTTATAGATAATACTTAAAAATTAATATGAAAAATCCCGGTTTTTTTACAAAATTCATAAAATAAATAAAAAATCCCTTTATAGAAAGTGTATAAAATTATTAACAATTCTAAGGTAATGATAATTTCAAAGAATGATTATATAAAAACAGATAAACTATTTACGTAATAAATTTCTCAATTTTTAATACCAATTATTTTAAGTATTATACACTTTAATAAAAACTATTCGTTACATTAGTTATTATGAAACTTCAATACCATAATATGCAATAAAAAAAAGCTGGATCAAAAGTCTAACGATTATGAGCTCTTGTTATAGTAGATTATCTCCAATATATTGAAAGTGAAGTATTATAAATTTAAAGTATAAACAGTTATGTATACGTCTATAAGATTTATAAGAGTAACGAATTAAAAAGTTATCAAATTAAAGTTTTCATTTTATGCACGAATAGAGCGACATACTATTAAATAAATAATATTACAATTAATAATATTACCCAAAAAGACACAACTATGTCTGTGTGTGTTTGTGTTTGTGTGTGTGTGTGCGTGTGTGCGTGCGCGCGCGCCCGCCTAGGAGATTGAATTTTCATTCTCATATTAATCACAATAATGAAAAACTACGTATGTGAAATAATATGAAATAATCTATCATTGTTAAGTTTAAAATAATTTGTTAAGAGTATGCCGTACGAAATAGATTAAATATTACATGCCAATAATAATAAAAACAAAATTTGTAATTTACTCAAAATATTCATGTGAAGTTAAATAACTATGTTAATGTAAAAAGAGATATTTTTATTTATGACTATTTTTAAATAAAAAAAATAATCTACTATTTCTTTAATAGCGATTAAATTTTTCTAAAATTTATTAAAATAACTAATTTTAATGTAATAAATAAATTAATTAATATAATAAAAAATAAATAAATTTTTCTTTTTAATATATGTTACATCTTTACCTCTGCGTTAATTATAATTTTTATTTATTCCTAATTTTATAGTTTATATTTTTTACGATCTGAATTATATGTAAATTAACCGATTCAGTTAGAAGTCTTTTTTCCTTGAAAGTCTACTATTTTACATAAACATAATAATGGAGGAAAAAAATTCACTTATTAGCTTCAAATTGAACAATTGATTTAATTGGTCAAATTTTTTATAGTCTGTTGAATAATTCCATTCGCTTAAATTAAAAGTATGAAAAACTTTACATATTATAAATCTTGGAGGTTTGAGTATAAAAAAGGAATGAAATCGGGAAGTTGTCTTTTCACGACGAATGCTAAACTAAAATAAATTTTTTGATACTCATTTAATTCCTTGAATTATTCTAATTTTTAAATTATATACAGTCACATTATTAAATTTTTATTTTTTAATCAATATTGACTTAAGCTAAAATTCACACGATTATGCATATTTAATAAGTATATAGCAGTATTTTATTACGAAATCAAAAATTATATTGAACTCGGAATGCAATGAAATTTTTAAGAAATACGTATGTATATACAACATATAATCTAAATTAATACAAAATTAACTTTTATACTAAGTATCTACAAAATAATAAATACAATATACATTATTTTATGTATAATGTTATGAGATATTAAGGTATATTGGGATAAGTGTTTTGATTATAACTTTTCCTTCAACTAATTTCAAAGTTCCATAATCATGCAAACGATAAGTTAGAGAAGTTTTAAATTAAAATGACAAATAAGAGCACATCTATTCCAATATTAGATTACTAAACATTATAAAGTTATCGATATTGAATAATGAACAAATAAATTTAATAAACAAAGTTTCGTTAAAGCGCTATTTTTAAATTTATTCCATTAGCTTTTTAATTTAAACAAATGCTAATGTTTTTTTTATGAACCACAGAATCGGAATGATAAAATAAATTTAATATGAAATCGTAGGATATTTTCCATTTTCTATAGAATGTCACAATTGTCCTTAATATTAACAAATCTTATTCGTTGAGATGAAATTTGAATTTATATAGCCATCCAATTTAAATATGAAGAATCTATTTTAAGTACTTTTAAAGATTCGAAAAATATGATTATAACTTTGATTTAATTTAAACTAATAGGAAAATTGAAAAACAAACCAAAGAAATATTATATACATACAATATATCGTAAAACATATTTTCTAAAATTCATCAACGCGAGCTATTCATCATATTTTCAATTGTTAAATTAGTTTATATTTACCTACCTGTAAATGCATTGCAAAAAGGTCTTTTCATTGCTATTAAATCTAGTCCATCATCAGAATGTGAAATTTTTATAAAATTAATGATGATCAGTAACAATAAAGTGGATTGCAGAACCTATAAAAAACATAATATTACTTTAAAAAGTATAACTCATATTTTTATATTAAATAACTGCTTTCTTTGTATTTTATAATATAATATTTAATACAGTCGTATTAAAAAAAATATTATTAAGGTAAAAAAATCCATATACAACTGAAAAATCGTAATTATTACAAAATGTAAAAATCATACAAAGTTATTAGCTAATTTGGAAAAAGTGTTTAAATTTTAATTATAAAGAGATATTTATTTTTAATTTTAAATCTAAAAAAAAAATAAAATTTAAATATAAAGAAATGCCAATAATTATAATTATTCTTTTTGGGTCATCATTAAATCAGTAAACTTATTTTTAAAAATCAATTATCCATACGTTTTATTTATTAGAAAAAATTAAAAATTAAAAATGAAGTAACAACATTTTCCAATGATTAGTTGTAAAATTAATTATAAAATTAATTAATCACGTCATAAATTCAAGATTAAAATACGGGATTAAAGAGTAAATCGATTTTTTAATAAAACTGTTATATTATACAAAATTATTTAAATCATGATTTATACAAATTACATAATTGCATAGTAACGAACTCGTCTTTAAGAAAATAATAAAATATATTAAGACACCCTATAATTATAAGTGTATAATACAATTAAATCAGTTCCAATTAGATGTTAATGAAATTTCACCTTAAAAATTATTATTCACAATATACAGATTATGGAATGCCTTTAATGTTGTAAGTTTCACAATATGAGATTAATCAATTGATAAATTTATGTTAGATAATAATCTTTCATATTACTATAATATTATACAAATAAATTTGTATATAATATTATTACCTTCAATTTTTTATTCTCTTTCCACAAATTTATAAATAGTGTAAAATTAAATATATTCAAAATAAATTTTTTTTTTTAATGTAGGAAACTTATTGACTCTGAAAACATTTCGACTTTGTTATCCAAAATCATATCAATGCATTTGCTTAATAAAAAATTTTTTCATACCAAGGAATATTAATTTTTTAATTAAATTTTTTTTTAATATTTACTATTGTTATTATGATCCTTTTTTTATTATTTTTTTTTATTATTATATATATATCAATATACTAATATATATTAATTTGCAAAGTTTTTGAATATTAATTTGTTTGCTTGAGATTGCTATTTTTATTAACGAAAATGATTTTTTTTTCGGTCAATTTTATTTATCGAAGACCTCACGACACTTAAATCGAAAAATGAAATAAAAAACTTCTTTAAAAATTTAAAAAGAAATAACTTCAATAGTCTTCTATATTTTTAAAAATAATCTGAAGACATACTTGTCATATATTAGTCTTACAAAAATTAAATTCTTTTAAAAATTCATGTAATTATATACAAGAAAAAATATTATCATTACAATCGTCGATTCCCTCTTAAATTCATCTGTAACAGAATTTTTTCACCAGCAACGATCAATTGTACAAGGAAATATTATTTTCTAATATAAAAATGTTCTACCTACACTTTTATCTAATAAAGCTTAACTATACTTCAATACAGTATCGATAAATATAAAAAAACACCTTACTATGTATATATGTCTGTACATGAATACATATAATTCAATATATTGAAAAGGAGAATCATTCTTTTTTCTACAATTATTTTTTTTCAATCGTCCTGTCATTTTTCTAAAAATTCCAAATAATTGGATCATTTTAGAAACTGTTTAATAAGTAAATGTGTTCAAATTTTTATAATTTATATTGAATATATACAATTGAAAATTCTAATTAATTGCTAATAATGAATAGTTTTACCTATTAATTGAAAGTATAAATATTTGTTATGATTTGTAATTTCTTATTAACTTGGAGGATAAATTTACAATAAGAATTATTATAGGCAATAAAATTTAATATAAATAAAATTCACAAAGTATAGACGAAAATACTTATTTATAAGTAAAGACATAAAATTATTATGCAAATGAAAAATGTTTTGCTTGTTCATTCTAATATGGTAAATATATAACTGACGTAATATAATAAAAAATGGTAATGAAATATTTCAATGTAATAATACTTTTTAACATTTACTAATAAAAAAAATTATTAGTCTATTATTACGAAATACTGCAATACATATAGCTTTAAGTAAAGAATAATATTAAAACAAAATTTCTTATTAACAACGATGATCAATATTTATTAATAATACTATCATAAGCATTATATCCATTACATTGCATTTATCTTTACTAAATAAATATTGATTTCATTATTTAAATGCGTATACATTCGCATTGAAACTTATAAAATTCTTTACAAATCTTTTTGCAATGCTTTTTATTTAATTTTCATTACATACAACCGATGTTCGATGTTCAATGCTCTCTATATGTTTTGTCTTTAATATCTATATTTTTCTCTTATCAGTTTATTGCTGCATAATTTATTAAAATTAGTTTAAAATTAAAACATTTTTAAATTTTAATATATTTATAAAAAAACGTTAGTTAAAGATTTGTTATACTATTCTTCTTCTCAATATCTTTTCATTATTAATATTGCCGAAATTAATTTAATATTTCAAACGGAATAAATAATATTTATAATAAACCAAATTTAGATGTCTCTTTCGAAAGTTTGTGTCATAATAGATGTATTTTTCTTACCCGAAAATTTCTCTTTTTAAGCTATTTTTTTATACGATTAATTTCATAGATTAAAAATAAGTGAATGTAATGTACGAATATAATTGCCAATCATATCATGCACACTTATCTGTATTTCCATAAAAAAATCTTTATTTTATTAAAAATTATGAATTTTATTGCATTAATTAAACAATTACTTTAATACCAATTTACTATATAATAATTCACGATATATTTAATGATAATTAAAAGCGCAATATCGAATTACTAATTTAGTTTATTAAAAATTTATATTTGTATTTTATTTATATATAAAAATTTATATATAATTACAAATACAAGTTCACTATGCATGAAAGAATACGATAATTTTCTAAATATCATTGTTCATAATTTTTTTCATTTATTATTTACGGTTATTTTCTAATTAATATGTATATATAAATAAATAAATAAAAAAAACAATTAACGTAATTTTTTTTTGTAATATCGAAGTCATATAAAATAATGAGAAAAAAAAACGAGATCTAAATTTATCTGTAAATAAATATTTTTTATTTGCAAACATTATTCTTAAATAACTAAAACCGCGTACGCGAACTTTTTCTATAATACATAATATTATTCATTTTAATTTTATTTACTATTTTTTCTCTCTGTATAGATAATTTCAAGAAGAAAAACACAAGAAAAAGCTTTGGAATAATATTAAATGTCACTATAATTGAACAAATATAATTGAATTTTGAAGTCTGTATTGTAGAATGATAATATCTATATCGATTTACACTTAAAAAGTATAAGAAACACCTTTTAAGTAAATGGAAAATGAAAATTTTAATTAGAAAAAAATATCAACACAACGGATTTAAATAAAAATTCTAAAAATTACCGTTGAATAATATATCGACTATTTTCAAATTATTCTAATAAAAGATTCTTAGAATTTTATCTAAAATTAAGTGAACTCAAATTATTTTCCTACTATTCTAACAAAACGCTGACTTTCTCGACTGGGATAAGAATTTCTTGTAATTATTGCATATACTTTTTTTGCTTATATTACTCACCAACGTCACACGCCTGAATTTCTTTATCGTTTTTCCGTCTCAATTTACGTGCGTTTTATATCAATTGATAGCTTATATAATTAAACGAATGGCAAATATATTATCTACTTTTACATAGTAAATGCCTCCGCATTGAAGCTTTATACTCTTCATATTATATTAAGCCTATGGATAATATCAAATATTAAAAGACAAAAAATATAAATATAAATATAAAATTAGAAACATAAAATTTCAGCTTAAGTCGATATTTGTCGACACAACAGTATTTCTATATTAACCATTTGACGCGCTTAAAATTCATTATAACGTATAAATTATTGTATAAACCTATTGGATAAATGAAACTAACAATAATATCGGATAAAACATGAATCTATTTTTAAAAATGTTTTAATTCTAGTAAATTATATTTATCAAAACTCATTCGATGCTACTATCTTTTATGTGTCTAAATAAAATTGACTGCTTGAATAAAAAATATAAGTATCAGGCGAAACTTTTAAGAAAATTAAATTATTCTTTAATGATCTTGTATTGAAATATTTATGTTGTTTTTAAATTATAATATTATATAAAAAATAAACGAAAAGTTTATATTACAATTTTATGTGCATATATAAATAATATTTTCTCAAATAGACTTTAGACAAAGCTTGCATTTACATAGCTTAACTTTTATTCCCTTATTTGGAAAAGTATGTACAGTAAATTAAGAATAATCTATTAATAAAATTCTCTATACATAATCTGTTTAAACTATTCATATGATGCATAACACATTTATTTCACGGATAATATCTACAATGTCGTTTAAAAAATACTTGAAAAGATCATGTATTGATATTATAATAATTTTGTAAAGTAAACGTATTTCACTAAACGTACGTGAATATACTAAATAAAAAAATTTAAATGTTTTGTATAATTTTGATTTAATTCGTTTTGTAGTTACTCTGTGAATCATGGACATTGATTTATGTTTATCTATAGCGTTGTCTTTCTATTTATTTTAACATCGAGCATTCTTGACAAATTTACAGAATTCTAAAAAATATATAATAACCACTATTTTCATTTACCATTATTATAATTTGGACCCGTGCACTTATGATTTTTTTTTTTTTTTTTTTTTTTTTTTTTTTTTTTAATATTCTTTGTCGACAAACGTATTTAACATATTTTTCATTACATTTTTATTGGTGCAATTCAAGCTAAAATCTTACAATTTATGATAATTGTAATAATTATGTTTCTAAGGGTTAAATGGATTAAAATATTTATAA